TATATATATATAAAACAAGGGATTGAACATAGAGGAGCAATTAACCACTGGGCCACATCTGCAGCATTCCATGCTCCTATGCTTTTTTTTTTTTGAGACAAGGTCTTGCTAAGTAGCTGAAGGACTTACTGAGTGTCTGAGATTGGCCTTGAATTTGCCATCTTCTTGTTGGCTGTTAAGAAACAGCCAATGAAGTTACACTTACTTGCTATTCCTAAACTGTGTGGCTTACAATCTTCCTGCTTCACCCTCTTAAACTGCTGGGATTACAGGTGTGTGCTACCTTACCTGGCAAGTCTCCAGGTCTTAATATGCCAGAATTTCTACATTATTACACTGTTAACGAAAGGAAAGGCCTTTGTGACACTAAAGGTCAAGTGGCATTAGGAGAAATAAAATAAAGATGTGAGAGACCATTTTAAGCTCTTGGAGTATAAGGGGTAATTGAGGCTAAGGGAAGTTCTGGAAGTTACTTCATCATAGAGGAAGACAAGGAAAGAGATGGAAATATATGTTAAGTTTCTTGATTTTGAATCTAGAATTCTTTATACTATCCTATGTATCCTTTTTTTAATGAGCTCTGGTGTATTCAGAAAAAGTGTCCTATATTGGTGTGGATTTTGGTAGCACTGATGAGCTGGGGGAAGGAGGATATCAGGTTAAGCATTCTGTAACTGGATACTAGAAGAGTTAAATGGTTCTAATAGAGCTGAATACATTTTAATCTGTTTCCCCCTCCCTCCCTTTGTTTTCTACCCTTTTGTCCATTCCCCTTTCCTTGTATTGTGGATTTCACAGGTCTCTCAAGTTAGTACCTGAGAAGATGATGATCACACATATGTGTCACTTCTACATGACCAGACTGGGGCTTCTTTTTCTGATTAATATTCTCCCTGGAACGACTGGCCAAGGGGAATCAAGACGACAAGAACCTGGGGACTTTGTAAAGCAAGATATTGGCGGGTAAGAATACTTAAGGTTTGGGGCAAAAGAAGAATTTGATAAATGCCTACCTCAGGTTTCAGAGTTTTCCTCAGATGAACCAAATACTCTGGTTTCTGATATATTACATTGTATTTGAGAGAATAATTATCAGCTCAGAATCTCAAGATAAAAAGAGACCTCAAAGTCGGGCTCAGTGGTGCATGCCTGTAATCACAGTGGCTCCAGAGGTTGAGACAGAAGGATTGCAAGTTCAAAGCCAGCCTCAGTAACAGCGAGGTGCTAAGCAACTCAGTGAGACCCTGTCTCTAAATAAAATACAAAATAGGGCTGGGGATGTGGCTCAGTGGTTGTGTGCCCCTGGTACCACTCTCCCACAAAAAGAGACCTCAAAGATCTTCCTGGGCAGTCCATAGCTCATGTTGAATCCCCTCTGTGATATCTTAAAAGCAATTGTCTCCAGCTTTTTGCTATTAATATTATGTCGTCTCTCATAAATCTTCAACCTACACCTTTTTTTTTTGGATCTAGTGCATTAACATTCAAAATGATAAGGAATCTCTCATCTTAAACTTAAGAATTTTCTCTACAGATAGTCCCTGTAGTGTTTGCTCCCCTTTACATTCATGTTTATTGAAGAAGTGGTCTGTTTGATTGCTTCTACTTGCCTCTTACCCATTCCTCCACCCACCACTATCTTTTTTTGGTTCATAAAATAAAACATAAGGAGAGAAGTACACATAAAATATACACATATAGTATGATTTTCTTTGACTTCAGAGACAGAATTCCTGGGTACTTAGATTACGTTCTCTAGAAGCAGGGCATGACAGAAATATTCATTTTAAAATTTATTGATTTGTTCTTTTTAGTTATATATGACAGTAGAGTGTATTTTGACATATCATACATACATGGAGTAAAATTTCCCATTCTTGTGGTTGTACATGATGCAGCATTTTACTGGTTATGTATTCATACAAGAACATAGAAAAGCTATGTCCAATTCATTCTACTGTCTTTGCTAATTCCATCTGATGGAAGTATTCTTGAGCAAAGGATTTATTAAGAAAAATATTCACAGCAGAAAACTGTAAGAAAGTAAGGCAGCAAGATAGGGAAATGGGTAAAGTTAAACAAAAGTGTGATTTCATGTGAATTATAGCCTCAATTTGACAATACAAGGAGATAGGAATCATAAATGGAATAGTCGTACCTTGAGACAAGGAGCCAAGACTTTTGTAGCCTCACCTCAATTGCTCATTATACTTTCATCTCACCCTCCATTTCTGACTTCTCTTGAACATCATATCTCTATATTCAACATTTTATTAGGTATGTTCACTTGGTTATTCCACAAAATCCTTAAAATAAGCATGTCCAAAGTAGTCTCATCACTTCCATCTCCCTCACCATAAAGAACAAACACAACAAAACAAAAACATATCCCTTTTCCCATTTTCCCTATTTTAGTCAGTGTTGCCATCATGCACTCTGTTGCTTGAGCCAGAAACTTAGAATTCTTTTTGCCAATTTTGTACCCTTCACTCTCCAGTTTGAATCAATTGCTTTGATCTGTTATTTCTACCCTGTGTGTGCCTAGAATTCACCCACTTTCCCACTACCACACTAGTTTAATTCACTTGTGCCATGGCAAGAGCCTCTATTTGGTTGTAATTCTTAAAGTGTTGCCCCCATCTAATCCCACTCTATAGCCAGTTTTCTTCTGTCATGCATGCTAAGTTATACCAAACCTATTTACATCCCTTTAATGGTATCTTATTTTTTGTAGAATAAAGTAAAAACTCCTTTTATAATTTTATAAAGCCCACTATGGTCTGGCTTCTATCTACCTACCTTATTAGCCTTATTTGGTTAGTCCTCCTGCCACCAAATTCTGTTCTTCAGCATTGTTGAACTTCTTTTAGACTAAAATCCTATGTGTTTTAATCAGCTTTTTCCTTGTTGTGAGCAACAAACCTGACAAGAACAATGTAGAGGGAGAAAAGTTTATTTTGGCTGAGGGTTTCAGAGGTTCCGTCCAGTTTCAGTTCCCTCCATTGCTCTGGGCCTGAGGTGAGGCACAACATCATGGTGGAAGGGTGTGGTGGAGGAAAGCAGCTCAGGACATGGCAACCAGGAAGCAAAAGAAAACTTCTCACCAGGGACAAAATATATAAACTCCAAAGTCATGCCCCCACTGACCTACTTCCTCTAGCTTCACCCTACCTGCGTACAGTTATAGCACAGTTAATCCATATGATTGAATTAATGTGCCAATTACTTTATACCTCTCATAATGTAAACATTTCACCTCTGAAAATTCTTGCATTGTCTCATATATGAGATTTTTGGAAATACCTCATTTCTAAAACATAACACAAGGGGATATAATTACTAATAACACCTTAAGCTTAAAATATTTCAGTATTACAAACAGGATATTTCATTCCTTCCAAGTGAACTTTGTTTGTTTTACATTTGGTTATAGTCCCATTTTCTTGGAAACATGTATCTTGAAATATAACTGTTTGAATTATTTTTACAGGATTACTGATGTACTCTGAGTCTTTCAATTTTTTTTAAAGAGGGAGGGGGGGAGGGAGGGAGAGAGAGAGGGGGTGGGGAGGACACAACATCTTTGTTGGTATGTGGTGCCGAGTATTGAACCCGGGCCGCACGCATGCCAGGCCAGTGCGCTATCGCTTGAGCCACATCCCCAGCCCAGTCTTTCAATCTTTTATCAGGATTTTTACAGTAATCTCTGGGGCTGAGGACTACAGAACTGGACTTAAATATCCATTTAAGTCTTGGCATATGAGTCTCTTTGTTTCTCCCAAGATTGGAAGTGAAACTAGACCTTTATTATTAACTCCTCATGGATATGATTTCATTGGACCATGATAAATGTTCTAAATAAGGTAGAAGTTCTAAATAAACAAATCTTACTTTAAGGGTTAAGTTCTTCTAACATTTTAAACTTTTCTAAAAATATGTTGCATATTTTCTTATAAACCTAAACAAAGATTATGAGCACAATAGTCCCTTTTCTTGGTGATTTTTGATTCTTATAAAGAACATTCATTATATTAATTCTTTATCGGCTTTTTCAATTTTTATCACCATCCTCACTGCTAGTTGTTGCCTTTCCTATTTACATTATTTTGTTTACATCCTGCTAATGCTTTGGAAACCAAATAGCCTAAACCTTTTAGCAATTATGCTAAACAAGAAGCCAAGAAATCCTTCCTGCAAAAGCAGAGTGAAGTGCTTGATTTTAATACCAGGGCATAATGATTGCATAGACCAATTTATGCCATGTGTGTGTGTGAATAGGTCATAATGAATCCTGCTATTATGTATAATTATAATGGACAATATTTTTTGAAAAAGAAACTTTTTTTATATTCAAGGTTTGGAAGGATGAGACTACTAAAAAGTTGGCTTAGAATATTAGGGTTGGCACTTTATTTGTATTTACTAGAAAAAAAAGGAGCCAACTCAACTTTAAAATGTATATTATATGTGAAAGTTCTGATACTTAAAGGAACTGCTGTTTCCTTTTGCTTGTTTTCATACCATATTAAATATGCCTTTGTATGTTGAAAAAAATCCATGTGCTTCCTTACTTTATTCATCTTTACTAGTTCGTTCTATTAAATCATCTAGCTTGGTTGTCTCTGAAGGTCTAACAACCAGCAACGGTTTATCAATGTGCTAAATACAATGGTTCTCAGTGTTTGGTATGGGTAAGCAAGAAACAAGAAGTGCAGGCTTCACTCTTGAAGATTGTGATTTAGAAGTTCTGAGAGTAGTACCTAAAATCTTCATTTAATAAAATTCTCCAGATGATTTTAATGTAAGAAAACTTTGGTTAATACTTGGGACTATAGTTTCTATTTTCAAACAACTAATACTGTAGATAGGAATATGAGATTCTGGATCTTTAGAACAACACAGATGGAAAGACCTATAAATAGTATCTATAATCTGATCTTCATTTTATAATTTTT